ATTTGATATGGATCATAAGCAGCGCCATCCCCCACTGCTTCACCTTGCTTACACGTCAATTATTGGAATGTTTGGAGTGATTTAGATTGCACTTTTTTATGCCCAGGCACTATCCAATGTACCATCCCCATCATCGAACACATCATTCGGCAGATCGATCGGCACCAGATCCATGGGCTCTGCAGCATCAAAGCCTTAGTTGTCCAAAAGGTTCTTTAGGATGCTGTTTTTGGTTGTCACGTATCATGTGCCAAAAAAGAACATGGTGCAGCTGCTTCTTCGGTGGCTTCCACATGCTCACCTTAGAAATGAATGTATTGGAATGGTTTCCACAGAGATTGAAAAAACAAGAGCACATGCAGCAAGCTTAAAGTAACCACGAAACCTGATTCTTCATGCTCAGACCAATCCAGGGTTGGAGCGCGCGCAGAGCATGGGAACCCTTCCCATGCACACTCCATCCACTCTTTCACCTCATCCTCCCCACCTCAGCTCAATCGCCACTTGGCACGTTCCAAGGTACACGGCTTGCAAGAGTCTGGCCAAGGAGCCGAGGTACTCCTCAAGAATGGCTCAGTGTTCATTGGCGTCCTTGGCTTGAAGCACTGATGAATGAGGAACAATCAACTATACTTATACATATCTGGGATCTAAAGCCCTGTATATTTATGAACACCATTTCAAGTTGTTTGAACTTGAAGTTTGGAGTTGATTGCTTCGAATTGCTATGTTCTTCTGTTTTCAGTGCTTTGGGTACCATGCTTGAAGAATGGGAGGGATGGTCAGCAGGAATGTGACAAACAATAGACACAAGAAACACCTGACTGGCCATTCCTCATCGGTTCACGACTACGCTGATCAGTTGAGCAGCGTAGTCAGCATAGTCATCTTCAATATTGGCCGGCTCCGATTCTTGATCGAGAGGAGGACAAACAAGTTGGTCCTTCGAGACGCACGACGCGCTTAAACTGGCAATGAAAACATGCGAAAACAACCCTAAACATTTTTTTGCTTCACGAAAGATGGCCGAAGGGCTAAATACTAAAGGCGCATGTCCTGGCAAAGCTCCAACGGTTGGGTCTCGCAGGTGTCCATGGCAGGTTTTTTTTTGGGCTTTCGAAGTCGTTTTTTCCGAGCCGCCTGCAAGAGCTGTAGGAACCTTGTTGCTTCTTCTTGTGTACCAGGCTCTAAGTCAAAGTGAACGCGCAATCGGTTGCACACTAGGGTGGCTAACTTTTTGGTCATGCACCGGCCCTGTCCTCTGAATTTTCCGGCCCATCCTCCAAACAAGTTTGCCAGAGCTCTGCTTTTAAACGAGCCCAAGGGGAACAACCGGTTTGTGGAGATCATGCGTCGCACATGATCTCCATCAGCTTCCAACACGCGAGCCAACTTGCGCACGATCTTGCTGACATGTTGTTCCCGGACCGCACGTTGCTGCAGACTCCGGCAAGGCATGGCAAACTATAGAAGCAGTATGAAAAGAGTACACTGTGGTTGTACATCTTTACCATCCTGAGAAACCTCTGGACATTTGCATTTACAGGTGGCTGCTTGAGCTGAAATGTATGCAAATGTGATCCAGACATCGGGACCCTCCAGTCCGTTCCCATCCATCCAGCCTGCACATGCGCCCGGCCATCACAGACAGCTAGCCGCGCAACATGATCTGAAAACAAATGCTTAAAGAATGAGTGTCTAGAGCTGCTTTCCATTGAACGCTTGCCGTCCAAAATCTGTTTATCGACCAACATTGCAGTGATAACATGGCAGTCATGGTCGTATATATGCAAGTGTGGCTGATCACAAAAAATGTTGCGAGCGCAACCCAGCACATGCCTCTGCAGTGCAACTTGAAACTTGAAAAATTGTCCGCCAATGTGTACATATGTACACAAACGACTCAGAAACGAAGTCAACATGTATGCTAGGATAGTGCAGCATGCCTTAACACACTACCATATACATGAGGGCTGGATGGCAACCATGTACGGAAGCTATAGCCCTGTAGCCCTGGCGTCCTATCAGGCATTTGGGTGATGATATCCTATAAGGTCTCTCAACCTGCGCTGGTCCACAGATTGCTCCGCGTACTAAAGTTGTACTAGACTCCATCCCTCCTGCGATGAGAAGCTGTCCACTATGGATTCGAGCAGCTGATCCTTCCGAAGCGTTGCGCCGTCGTGCTTCTGCGGCAGTCCCAACTGCGCGCATAGCTTCTGCAAGGCGCCGCGGTTCTTGGCCTGCAGCTCGGCGCGCAGCCACGCCGCGCCTCCCTCGCAAGTACATTCTTCACGGCTCTTGCCTTGCTGCGTGTTCCCGGCTACGGTCTGTGGAGACTTGCGCGATCTCACTTGGAAATTGCTGCGGTCTCTCTGCTTGAGCCACCGCGCACATCGCGCCACGGACTCGATACTCTAACCTCAAAACAAAACACAACGAACACGAAACGAAACGTGCCTAAACCAAACTAAACGAACCTAAACGAAATGTGCACTTCCATCCCAAGTGGTGCGTTGAAACTTCTTGCCAGTACATTCTTCATGCTCTTGCCTTGCTGTATGTTCCCGGCTACGGTCTGTGGAGAATTGCGCGATCTCATTTTGAAAATGCTGCGGTCAAAAACGAACACGCAACGAAACGTGCCTAAACCAAACTATACGAAACTAAACGAAACGTAGGTAAGTCCAGGAGCCCCTAGTAGCGTCCTTGCTCCTAGTAGTTTCATCGCGTAGTAAGTCTGAGTGCGAGTTATCCGTTAAGTGTGCAGTGTGAAGTGTTAAATCGAGTGAGTTGAGGTAATGTGTGGGTCTCTGTGTGTGTATCTATGTCCGTGTGTATATGCGTCTCTGTCTGTGTGTGTGTCCGAATAAGTTGAGGCAGTGCGTGGGTCTATGTGTGTGTGATGTGTGTGTGTGAGTCCCTGTTTGTGTGTGTATGTCATCCATGTCTGCTGCTGGTGAAGGTCTTCTCTGTACATATAGTGAACGAATTAGCGCGCAGGCCTCCCAAACCCCCCACCGGCGGCCAAGCGGTGACAGCCCCGCTCCTCGTCGCGTATCAAAGTTGTACTACCAAGTCGCCAGTTCTCATCTTCCAGCTATCCAGCTACTCCGCGTACTACAGTTGTACGACAAAGTCGCCAGTGTTCATCTTCCAGCTCCACAGATACTCCGCGTATTCAACTTGTACTACCCACTCACCAGTTCTCATCTTCCCACTCCCCAGCTACTCTG